TGGGGCAAAGGTGAGATGTCGGAGTGATAGAGGCAATGTACTTTCTTGATTGCGTGGACAAGCAGAGATTGTTTTGTTGTTTTCATGATACTTTTCAAGATATCTTCACTTCTCTACAGGACATTATTGTTTTAAGTATTGTACCTTGTATTCATGAGACTGATGCCCAATATTTAAAGTCCGAATCTACTCTGGGTCTTTGAGGCATAAGTCAGTTAGCAGAACAGGTAAGAAATGCCTTTCCAGAGGAAGGTAAAAGGAAACAGAGGAATTATCTAGGAAGCAAAGCTATGGGTGGAAGTATAAACGTAGATGTGTACTTAAGTAAATATATTAATTCATAAAAATAGAGGTATTTGCATAGGTACATATATTTATATGGCAATACATTGAGGGAAGTGCAAGAACTTTGGGCCTCTGCTCAAGCCCTCCCTCAATGCAAGAACACTTTGTTCTAACAACCTGGTATTCTGTGATGCTTACCCTCCTGCATGATCACTGAAGACAAAATGGGTACACAAGCAAATGTGGTGAAAAAGCTGATGGTGCCTGGCTATCAAAATATATAGCATCTGGGGTTTTAAGGGCTTGAAGTTAAAACAAATGGCCATCTAGCAGAGAAGCAACAAGCCCACATGTAAGAAACACACAAGCCTGTGTGATTATGAGCTGTCGACAAGATCAGGTAACAGGCATCAGAAGACCCAAAATAAACAAGCAAGCAAGCTAACAAACTTATTATTGAGATCGAGGGTGCTTGGAGCAGAGACCCAAAAACCCATCTGTAGACAATGGGTCATCCCCCACACAGAAGGGTCACAAGGAAGGGATGAGTCAACCAGGGTGCAGTATAGCACCAATGAAAGGCACAATATTCCTCTGGTTCCTTGAGGCTTCCTCATCCCCCACTGTCATGACCTCAATCCTGCCTTTCACTGCGGCCTAGCCAGAGCATGTACACAAGTACAAACAGAGCTCGGGACACACGGAATCCAGGTCAGATAAACCCCTCAGGAACAGAAATGGGAGTAGTGACACCTGCAGGGTGGGGGGAGGTAGAGAGATGAGGGGGGAGGAAACCGGGCGGGAAGGGAGATGGCTGCTGATAGAAGATATGAAAATAATAATTTATCATTTGTCAAAGGGTCATGAGGGTGGGAGGGTGGAGGGTACGAAGAGGAGCTGATACCAAGTGCTCAACTAAAAAGTAAATGTTGAGAAGATAATGATGGCACCATATGTACAAATATGCTTGATACAATCGATGTATGGATTGTTAAAAGAGCTGTAAGAGGCCCCAATTAAATGATCTTTATAAAAATGCCTTTCCATTCTCTATTAAAGCAGTGCTTCACGTTAATTGTGTTTTAGGTGAAATGTTACATAAGTTAGGTTCCCATTTTAAAGCTTTTATAGAGACCGGTCCGTGACATTAATGATAATGTTGACATTGCGCCAGCATTCTCATTTCCGTTTTGCTTGTTCCGATTCCCTGGGTCTAGCTTCCCCTCCTGACCCTCTCATCTTCGCTGCTGGGTCAGTATTGATCACTTGGTCTCGTAGTTAATTGTTGAAGGGAACACATTACGCATGAGTGGAAGTATTTATTTTGAAGCCAGTCTGGCTGCAAGGTGACCTGTGGGAATAGCTTCAATTCCAAGTTTAAAGGTTATCTTAAGATAATGGTCTTGGAAGTTTCCGTAGCCTCTGTTGGTCCAGTAGTTCTGGCTGTTTAAAGAAAATTTGAGTTTTGTTTCACAATTCTTTTCCTGTTTTCTCTGGTCAGAGTAGTTGGTAGTGGAGGCTGGGCACCCTCTAGTTCTTCTCTTCTCAGGTTAGAAGAGTTTGTGGTGCCTGTGGGCTATCCGTCTCTCCTTGTCTTCTTATGAGTTGACTAACAGCTGTATCTCGATGGCTCCTCACAGGTTTTTACCCACCTCTCTGAGGGCAGATTCTGGTGCTTTGAATCCTGGGTTTCCTGAAGCCAGCCTCTTCTGCTTTACTGTGTCTGAAGATGCCTCCCCGGTTCTTGAGTAACCCTTCGGTCTGTGATTTTAGGGTTGTGACTTTCTCCCCTTTTAGTGACAGCAAGGACTGTTAGACCGAAGCCGTTTGACACGACACATGTCTCCTTTCTTCTCCTTTTTTAATTTGTACGAGGCCATGAGCTCGCAGTCATTAAAAACGTACTGTCTCTGGATATCGTAGTCATTCCTTCATTCATCAAATGTTGACTGAGTGGATGTCCTATGTGGGGCTGTGGTCCCGGTCCTGGGAACCTGTGACGCAAGGGCAGCACTGCCCCTGCCTGAGGGAGCTGACGCTCTGGCCAGAATGCATTCTGATCGTGCCAAGTGCTGTGAAGGTGTCCACAGAGTGATGTGACAGGGAGTGTCTGTGGGGGCTGGAGAGGTCCCAGGAGGCCTCTCTGTACAAGTGATGGTTGTGCCTGACCCCTGAAGTCACACGGAGACTCCGTCCACCTCCCAATGCGGCAGCTGGAGAGGTCAGCCTTCAGGAAGAGGGGAACTGCACATGCAGAGCCTCTAAAGACTATCATGAACTTGGCTCATTTGAGGAATGGAAGAAATCTCAGCATAGTCTGAGCATAGGGGGTGACAAGGTGAGGGAAACTACGTTGGGTGGGCTGCTCCGTGGTTTTGCCCTGGAAGAGGGGTGAGGAACATCTGGTCCACGGGTAGTGGAAGGCCCACAATAGCATCCGTACCAGCTGACATCACCCGCCTCACCACAGAGCAGCAGTTCCGGCCATCGCTTCAGGGGTGAGTGAATGAAATGTTTGACCACATATACACAAGGCTCAGTTTTAAGTTGATAATTTTATAAATATCCAAATGGCCCTTGGAAGAAAGAAGGCTACCCCCCTCCTTCCCCTTAAAAGATAAAGCCAAATCATTTAGGTTTTATTCTGATTGCACTGAGAAGTCATTTGAGGGTTTTACAGCAGTAATCTAATACTTGACATTTAAAAGCGATAGAGAGTATTGTCTAGAATGTTATTTTTGGAGAACACGGTACCTACCAACTCACACACATGAGCACATACGCCTCTCTTTCCAGCTGCCTCTGGCGTTTTGTTTCCATCAGTAGATTCCCTTGGGGTGTTCATATTTGGGGGCGCGTGGAGATGCGCTTGGGCAGCTCTAGTGAAGAGGCTGGCAGGTATCACTGACCGCTGAGGGGATGCCGATTAGGCGGTCTCTGCTCTGCCCGGTGTCCCACTTCTTCCTAGACTGAGAACGGAATGTTAGGCTTCTTATCTTTTATTTGCTTATTTGAAGCAGGGCTTTGGAAGAACCTGTGAAAAGCTTTTGTCTTCGTGAGCTCCTTGATGTCTTTCTCTGTTTCAAAATCGAAACTTCCCACTGGCCTTTTTCTGCTTGGGCCTCCGAGTTTTCATAGTTTTTTGCTTCTGACCCTTGTAGGCAGGCGATAGTGGTAACTGTGAGGCAGGCTGTGTGTGTGAGTTCAGTTCACCCCCTCGGCGGGACCCCAGAGCATGCCATCAGCATTCCAGGGAACACTTGTCCCCCAGGGCCACGAGAGAGAATGGTACTATTGCCAGGAAAGCACCAGCCGAGGAGAAGGTTTCTCCTCTGTGTGCCGGGCCTAGGAGACGCACGGAGGATGGTGGACAGAGAACCATGCACAGGACATTGAAAAGATACAAGCAAACCCATAGATGGTAAATTAGCTGAGTTTGAAGCCAGTTCAGTTCTATGAAGGAGCCCTGGTGGTGCAGGGAGTCTCCTTGGGGCTGGGCCGCTCCCGCACGAGTTGGTGATTCAAACGCTCCCGCGCGAGTTGGTGAAGCAAAGGCCTGGTGATCTGATTCCAGAAAGTTTAACTCCAAACCCAAACCCATTGCCATGAAGTTGATTCTGACCTAGAGCAGCCATGGAGGACAGAACTAGAACTTCTCCATAGTATATGTGAGGCTGACGTTTCAGGGATGCACACTGCGACATCTTTGTTCCACAGAGCAGCTGGTGGGTTTGAACTGCCGACCCTTTAATTAGCATCTAAGCACTTCGCTGTACTACGAGGGGAGACCCTGCGTGGTAATGCTGCTGTGTCACATGGGGTGGTTCTGAGTCAGAGTTGGATGGCACACATCATCATCTAATGAGAAATGTCCCTCTCATTCCTTCCCCCAATATTAAGCATATTAAAATATTCTGTGATACATGACTTTTAAAATAGTAGTAGGGTACTCACTGTTAATGAGTTGCTTCTGACTCAAGAGTGACCCTCTAGGGCGGGGTAGAACTGCTGTGGTTTTTTAAGACTGTAACTATGGGCGTAGAAAGCCTCCTCTTTCTCCCTCAGGGTGACTGGTGGTTTCGAACCGTAGACCTTGAGGTTAGCAGCCCAACACATAATCGCTGTGCCATGAGGGCTCTTTAATACTAGCGTAGGGGGCTTTTGTTTTTCATGGCTTGAGGGATGATTAGAGAGCTGCTTTTGCTTCCCAAGTTGGGGTTCATAAGAGTGCATCTTGCGATATTGAGATGACCAGCCCTGTCAGCGATGGGGCTCCCGGCATCGGCTTCCTTGTCATCGGCACATCTGACTGCAGGCACCTTTGCTCAATAGTGATCATCGTGTCAGTTCACACCGAAACCACCGTTGGAGCAGCCCAGTTTTAATAACATTTGACTTCTGGTTTTTATTGTTAACTCTCTGATTAACATGAATCAAGAGAAGCACTCATAAGAACCTTTGGCTTGGGCAAAGGAGATTTGTTTTTGTCCAGATTGCGGGGGTGGGGGGGGCGGCGGTGGCAGGCAGTCTGGTCCTCACGTCATACAGAAGCTGCTTAAAGCTGCTTTGGTTTCTTCTTTACATCAAGCCTCATGTGCATCCTCCGCAGGCCCATGGGAATCAGGTTTCCTCATACAACGAGGTGTAAGTATTTCTTGGGCTTATAAATGTTCCATTTGGAAGATACTTGGCATCATTCTAGGTCTTTATTTCAGAAAACATCCTGGGATGGCACGGGCCCAAGTCACATTCCACAGAGCAGCTGAAAAACGGAACCCTTGGCTCTCTGCCACCTGCCAGTGCCAACATAACCTGGGCCATCTTGCCAAACTCCGCTGAAGACCAACCCACCTTACAGCCCGAGCCGGAGGTAAGCTAGCCACCCTCGCTTAGCGCATTCATAGCTTGTGGGACTGCTTGTTCAGAAATACGGTAATTATATTTGTAACTTGCTCATTCCTGTGTTTCCAAAGGAGACAAATTATAAAATGGAAGACTTGCTGGGGAGAGAGATAGCCAGCCTGGCACGCCTCTTGTTCCCGTGTCTGGCATCTGCTGTGGGTGAATTGTGCCCTGAGAGTAAGGGGGTGTGGGGAGTGGGGGGCTCCCATTTTCATGGAAATGGGAGTCATTTTGACTTTGGGAGAAATTCTTCTTGACTGATTAAAACAGTGCCTATTGGCATGATGGGAGCAGTTACAATATATCGTGTCAGTCCCCAGAATAATGGTGGCTTGCTGTGGTTCATGCTAACACAGCTCCTGCCTTACCTGCTTGGTTCCCGCATGCTACAGAATCTGGCCAGGGCAGTGGCCAAGCCTCCCGGTAGGTGCTGCGCTGCAGCCCAGGCTGCGGCTACAGAGGTTAACTGCCCTGCCTTGTTAGGGAAGAGTGGCCCTTGTTGCTCTTAGGGCCCAGCCAGGCTCTGGTCATTAAACTTCATGGATTTTATGCCATCAGCCCAACTGTCTATATGTAAGTCGCAGAGGGAGCCAAATGCAGCCGATGACACTTGTCCTTTTTGTCATGAGTGAATTTGTGTTGCTTCTTTTCATTTTGAAGCCAGGTGCCCTCTTGACGTGATCTCTCAAGCTGGACTGAGACCCACTTAACCATGTGTCAGAGATTAGTCGTGATTGCAATTGAAATCATTTTACCCTGAAAGTTGCAGAGCACTCTACCAAATCGATTTTGTACAGTTGAAAGGCCCCTGGCAGCTTTCTTCAATCAGTTGATCCTGGTTATCAATCAGCATGTTTCTCCACGCACAGATGGGAGTTTAGCTCTTATGAGAGACAGCATTGTTTGACACACACCCCCCAACCACAGGCCCAGTATTTAATTAGAATCTCGACGATGATGATGATGAAGAATATGAATTAATACCCACCGCCATTAACCCATAGTGACCCTATCTAGGGTCTCTGAGGCTGTACGTTTTTGATAGGGGCAGGTAGCCTCACCTTATAACGGGTGGCTTTGAACTGCCAACCTTGCTTTTCAACCCAATGCCTACCCACAGTGCCACCAGAGTCCTTACGAGGGGAATTGGGGATGGGGATTTCTCACCTGCCTTTGGCCTCTGCTCACATAAGGAGTTTCAATTTGGTGGGGGGTGCAGCTCATGTGAAGATGAATTAGAAGGTAAGTTGGTGACTGTAAATGGTAGGAGCCCCATCGTCATAGTGCTCCTTTGGGAGACTCAGCTGGGTTGGCATTCGAGGATGAGATGCCTAGCTGCAAAAGAGTTGAAAAGCTACGATCTCTTTTTTCTCCTAGAAAAGAGCCTTTGGGGGATCACACTGTAATGCACATATTTAAAGTCTTGCTCTAGAGGGAAATGAAGAGTATAGATAGGAGTTATTAGATCTTCAGAAAACCCAGCAGGTCCCATAGCCTAAAAAACTTACTTTTAGGACTGGTTATTTGAATTCCTTATTCTGTGAATTCTTTTTAGTCCTCAGCTCCCCCGATAGGTGCTAGCTTTTGTACCTGAAGTTGTTAGATGGCAAAGGCTGTTCTTTGCACTTAAATAGATTGCTCCTTTTGCTTTATCTGCCGGTGCCATTGGCAGAAAGCAGTCTATAACGGCCCACGAGTAGTTTCCAAGGTCAACTTCAAACAGACACCCTAAAGATGAAGAACTAGGGCGATCGCTCCCCTTGAGTTGGGAGCAGGCATTCATTTCTCGTGTCATTTTTGCCCTGACTCCGTTCGTCAGCGCAATATATGATGATGCTTGCTCATTCTTCATAGTCACGAGAGGCTTACGGGGTGATGGGCTGCCTTGGTGGTTTTCGGAGAAGAGGGAATTGGAGTTCTTCTGTGGAGACTCCCCTCATGTTTTCCAGCGACAACGCTGGTAGATGGTTCTCGCAACTCGGACCAGCTAGCATTGGTCGGACACTATTTTTCATGTAGGCCAACGAACTTTGTCACATATATATTGGTCTTAATGGTGGAAGAAACTAGCAATATCCACCCAATTATTTTCCTGTCAGGAGGAGGAAAATGTTTTCATTGCTTCCCTTCTCTACAATTCGGAGAAAAGAAATGGAATGTCTCAAGGCTAAAATCTCCAGAAAGAGAGGGCTCGTAAGCGCTTTTGAAACCTAGAATGTAGTTGTGTGTGCAAGAAATCTGCGGAATGGCTAATCTGAAGAATTGTGATGGCACGTTAGTGAAGTGAACTGTTTTTTCTGGTTGATGGTTTTAATCATGTTGGGTCTTTGGGAGCAGTAATTAGGGTATAGAAGACTCCTCCTGAGTCTGGCTTATGAAAGCACCTCGGGGTGGGGAATGCCTTTTAAAGTGTAACCTATTTTAAGTCTCAGAAGAATAAAAGCTCCAAGACCAGTGTGTCTGTAATACATAAGTTAAAAGAGATTTGTAGTTGGCTCTGTTATCAAATGAAATGAGCTTAACATTTTATTCTGCTGGGGCTGGAAGTAACTAAATGTGCAAATGAAATATTCTTCCACAATGAAATGAGTTAGGATCTTGGTTTTACCCATTAGTAGAACAAATGTTCACCTCAGTAACAGCATTGGGAACTTAAACTTAGGAAGGTTTTTGTCATGCCTTCTCAGTTGGAGAATGCCTGCCGGCGGACAGGAAGGTTGGTGGTGTGACTGTACTGTGGGCTGGCCCTCCTGGCCTACCTTCCTGCCTCCTGATGGGAGAGACTGGAGACCCAAAGGCCCCACATCCTAGACCTTCTTGCAGCCAGGTTTCTAAATGCAGAAACAGGGAGAGGCAGTTATGCGAGAATTGGATGTCTGCTGGCGGGCAAGTCCATGGAATGCTTACAGGCAGTTGTGGTAGCCTGGCTCACGTTCTGGGTCTTCGTCCACCTGCGTCACTGTGAGAAGCCACATGATTCTGGTGACTCCATAGAAAGATTGTATAGAAAGTCTCTAGTGGGGCTCCTGTCTCCTTCAGCCTTTCCAATGGTTGGATGAGTCCCGGATGCTTATATCAAGCCCCTCACTGATTGGAATACCAGGGGTGGTTTATGGTGTTTTGCACCTGGTCATGACCGCTTAGGCTGTTGGAATCGGAGAGCGTGGTGCCATGTGAAGACCGATCTTGAGAGACACAGCTCACATGACCAGACACGTGTACCTTTATGGGGGTTGGATCTGAGGGACAAACCTTAAATTAAAAGCCACATTTATGGAGGGGGACGTTACCAGCAAAGCCACTCTTTCTGACAATCCTCTACATGTTGCCAAATCAAAGTTGAGGGCAGTTGGTACCCCCGACCCCACCAAAATGTCCTCCCATCTCATTTGAGTCAACTTGTCCCCCCACCCTCGGCACCCACTGCTCTGCTGTCTGAGCCGAGGTTTGCCGTCTCCAGAATGCCGTGTGAGTGGAGTCCCGTAACGTGAGACTTGGGCTGACGAGGACATTCGCGGTCTCTGTTGTTCGGGGAAGCAGTCGTTCATTCCTTTTGTTGTTGTTGTTGCCTGTCAGGATCCGTTGTGCTCACACTCGAGGGTGTCTGATGAGCCTGGAGTTTGATTTCTCGTACCCTCTGCTGCGGTTCGGCCCCCTCTGGTGTGTTTCGGCCCATCCTGTCCACATGTCGCACCCCTGGCCTGTAAGGTTTCCAGGCCGCAATCTGTATGGGACTCGATTTCCAGGGCTTTTCTCTCCAGGAACCGGCATACTTTCCATTGGCCGCCAGGTGCTGAGCCATCGCACTCCTGGGCTTCTGCGTGCCACCGCTGTGATTTCCTCGAGTCCTCTAAAAGGCACGGAGTATCCGGTGCCCAGACATCCCCTTTCCCTTCCTCTCCTAGCCGAGAAGGATAAAGATAAGGCACGGAAACCATCCTACTAGTCCCAGCACTCAAAAATCCTACTGAACTCACTGTCTTGCTTCATGGTGGCCCTATGGACAGGGTAGGACTGTCCCTGTGGGTTTGCGAGACGGAGTAGAAAGCCTCGTCTTCCCCCGCAGAATGGCGATGGTTTGTGAATGGTAGGTCTGCAGGTTAACGAGTTAACATATGACCCTATGTCACAACGGCCCCCACCACTGGAGGCTCTAAATCCACTGCATACTGTCAGTTCCTATCAGCCTCTGGCTTACATTGACCTGATCAGAAGCTTTGCCTGAGCATCAGCAGCAAATATATAACAAGAGACCAACCCCCCCCACGCCCCATCCTCCCACATCTAGCATGTAACCTTACCCAACGTTGAATGACGTGTCATAAGAGTCACATGTCTACTGAGCATCCACCTATATAAATGAGCCAAACAGGTTGTGGTCATGCATTTGTGTAAATGGATTTTCAAGTAAATAGGGGATAATCCTTTTTCCCCTGAGGGAGGGATATAACTTTTTAAGAATGAACGGAGGAGGCTGTTATAAAAGATGTAGCTGAATTCTGTCTGAAGAATTTTCGTGCTCTTGCTTGGATTGTTGTTTTTAGCACTGAACTTTTGAACCACTTAGCAACATGGAAAGCTGTCCATTTGAAACCCTCTGACATTCACCTTGAAGCCTGGCCAGTATACTCACTCAGCCTGTCTTTCTCACCCCCCGTCTTCATCCCCACGATACATAAATGTGAGGTGACTAAGCTTATGCATCACTCATGGGTTCATGATAGATTTTGGAAGATAAGCTAGATAATATGTTGCTTCCTTTTATTGTGTGGATGATTCTTTGAATGCAAATTTTCAGATGTATTGATTGATGCAAATAATCTGACACACATTAATTTGTGGTCAACAATCTGACCGAGGAGTGAGGCAGCTATCACTAGCTTATAATGGTTGAAGCAATCACTTTTATTATGTCCTCTGATCACGCTGGAGAGCTTAATTCCAAATGGTTGCTAAGAAGGACATGTC